GTTGTACATTTGCTGTCATGTTAAACTTATATTAAAGTTTTTCTTCATTACCCATTTAAGCCGTCTCCAGCCATTATTAGTCTCAAAGTGGGTTCCTCGTCATCGAATTTGCATGTACAATTTGTTGTATTGTACATAGGTAGGTGTTTTTATATTTGTTAACTCTATCTGTCTGGGCAACATTTACTGCATGTCACAAGGTTTTAGTCGCTTGCATTCAAAATTTTATTTAAACTAATTTTTGTTTATGCTATATCAATTAGTATTTTATAAAATCATAGCTAATAACCCATATGTTAATGGTATATAAGTTTTAAGTTCTTAATTTTATAAGGCAGTAGTTAAAAAAATCTTGAATTTCTCCTAGTGTTAGAAAGGTGACACATTTTCTTTAGGCACAGCTTTCAATTTTGTTTAGTTACCGAGGCATCAAATAGAAAATGAGACCGTTCTTGACACACCCACCTGTCACATCCTCTCTTTCAGGATTTGTAAATAGTTCTCTCTTATGTTTAGTTCTGTATTATCTATAAGTAATAGAAAGCCAAGGTTTTCATCTATAAAATGACATATTATATTACATTGTGTTCTGAACAGGGAATTGTAAATTTCTCTTTTAGTACGATCTTCATTCCCATGGGAAAGATAACAGCTAACTTGGATGAATTTGTAATGTCTCTTGTTGCATAGTTAGAAAATCAGAAAAATTGTGATAGTTAGAGGAAATTGTCTGCTTTTTTACATGTTATTATTGTATGTACTTAGGTGCATTATTTGATTAAATTAAAATTATTTTGTGTATCACTACCATTAATTTGAAAAAAGTAGGGTTAAGTGTCATTGACAGTCAACAGCAAAAACAAGAAGACATGGGTAAGAACCTCATTTCATGTTTTTAATGTTTATTCTTTATTTATTATTATAAAAGTAACTTAAATGTAAAAATAGGGATCTCTTTAGTTTAGTTAAGGTTAGATGAAGTGAAATATAAAATATGATACAGATGTTTCATGAGGAATGCACACAAGCAGTTTCTTGTTCCATTTGGAAGTCATTCTAGAAAAAAAGGGTTATTTATATTTTTTGCTGGTTACGAAGTTGGTCAAACTGACCAACCTTATATAGAGTTAGGGTAGAGAAAATAACAGATCCAATATAAAGTTTTACCAAAACATATATATTTGAAATATATTTACGAGGTTTTAGTGATTTAAATACTCTTTTTTTTTCTTCAACAAATAACATGTATTACATACGTTTATTTCACAACACAATTTCTTACCATTAATTTAATTTAATTTATAATTTATACTCTTAGTTCTAATTTCTTTTGTGTGGGCCCGTGGGAGCCTAGGTCCACCCTACCTGCTCCCAATATTACTCGATTTCCTCCTTCAGATGACCCAGATTTTGTCAGTTTCTTCCACCTTATCGTGGATTGCATTCCAGGCTTCTACTGCTGAATCTGCTAGGCCTATCCCAGTTTTTTGCATTTTGTACACATTTTATGTTATATTCCCCTTCTCCTGATGTTGTTTCATGATGATATATTTGTCTCTTTCTTTGGAGAGTGGGTACTTGCAAGTCTTGCCTTATACAGTGTCATGATATAAAAGACTTTATTGAAGGTAATATTGATTAATTTATTTTGTGAATTATTGTTTCATGATTGTTTAGTTGTTGTTTTTTATAATAAGAGAGTTAAAAACAGACAGCTATTGTAAGTTGTAAGTTATTGATGTCGAGACTATGGAGTTCTAGAATGTCTCAGCAAAAGATATATATAGTGGCCACTAGATGAGAGACCAGAAAGTGGAAAGAGAGCCAAAAGTAAAGCAGAGTGTAAGAGAGTTTTAGTCAGCTATAAAACTTAAGGTAAGCTGTCATAGGAGATAATCAGTTTTCTGACAGTTTAGGAGAATAATTTGTCTCAATAAAGGGTGTTCTAAAGCAATTGAACCTGACTGTGTGGATTTTGATAAAAAGCAG